TACCCAGTGGTCTTCTTTTGCACGTGCAAAAACACACTTCCATAGATGTGTCCTTCAGCATTCCAGAAACACCTAGCTGAACCAACATTTTAAGAGAAGGAGATTATTTTGGTCCTTATTTTTAGAGGCCTTGCTCTGTGGGTGGGTGGGCCCAGAGAAGGTGGACACCATGGTGGAACTTGTAGAAGAGGAAGCTGATCCCCTTGTGGGGGTAGATGGGAAGCAAAGACCAGAGAGACTGGCAGCCCAGAGCCCCTTGGGTGGCACATCCCTGATGACCCTCTCCCCCCCAGAGCTCCACCCACCTCTGAACAGGGCTGTAGGCTGAGGACCGAGCCCTCCACACACAGGCCTTCAAGGTCACCTCCCCGAACCACACGGCACTGGCTCCTTTGTGTCCTTTAGAGGAGAATGGAAAAGGGCAACTCTGAGTGAAGCCTATGCCTGTGGTTGGCACAATACCCTGGCCAAGAAATAACTCCTCGCACTGTGTCTGTGCTCCCCAGCACTTTCTGCAGACTGGACCCGGTACTGAGGACAACTGGAGACTCAGTCTCCCTTTCTTCTTTGCAGCAGGAAATGTCATTCAGTGTAAGAAGGTATGCATCTGCAATTAGAACGCACCTCCAAATTTTACCTCTCCTCTAAGGCACCAGGGATTCCCATTTCCTTGACTCGAGGAGACAGGTGATGGGGTGAGAAGTTAATTTAAACAGTGGAAACTTTCTTTCTCGCCTTTTGGCTTATGAAGTAAGGAGGGAACCCATACAAGGAAGAGCATCAGACCCTATGGCTCTCTTTTCTGTGTGTTTCCATCTCCTCTTTAGTCAGGTATGTGTGAGGGGAAATGGAGCCGGTAGTAATCCATTTTCCCTCCTTTGGTCCTTTTTAACTTGTAGTTCAAAGTGTGGCCTCTCGCTTTAGGTCTGTCACACACTTTCACTGTCACCTAACTGGGGGGCTAGAGACGCTGTGAGGTCACAACAATGCAATGACTGTGAGGGAAAGCAGTGTCGTAATACCTGTAGTGTCGATTGTCCTTAACTGACTTGAGAATACAGGCTCTGAATCACTGGCATTTACAGAATTATTAAAGAAAATTACAATGAGCATTGCTGAAATAATGAGTGACAGATTTTGAAAAAGACACCTAATATCTCCATTCTGAAGATCTTAGTTTCAAAGACATGACAGAACTCCCTGAGTATCTGAATCCCGAACAGAAATCAAAGCAGTCACACTGCTTCATTTAGGCATCCAACAGATCAAGGACGTCTCTACCCTGCACTAGGTGATCTACTGAATCGCTGCCCCCCCCCCCCAGCAGACGGAGGCAGCTGCAGCCTCTGACCTGATTGCCCATGGGATCTGGGAGGGTGACCCCTCCTCCTCTGACCATATAATCTAACACATGTCCTTGCTTGTGGTCCTTCCTGTAAGGATTTCTTATTTACTTGACTTTTAGAATCTTTGGCATGTAGTTCCCCATACCGAGACCAAGAGCTGTCCCCTATCCAGCTCGTCCCCGTGGGGGACTGTGCATGCCTGCTCAGTGGGAAGATTGCATTTTCTAGTGAAATTTTATGGTACCTTGTGGCTCCCAGGAATGCTCTGGTTGGAAAAGTGGGAGGGGTAAAAAGTATACCTCAGGATCAGGGATTTTCCTAATTGCTACACATTCTAAGAGTTTCAAAAACATGTCACTTTTCAAAAGGGAAACACATGGAGCTGGGGTGTGGGGCAACAATCATTCTTCTGTCTGAGTTAACTTTCTTCCTACTGATCCACATCCCTAGCAGGGAAGGCTAGATCTTGCCTTCCACCATTGATGTTGTGATAGACAGATAATATTCCACATCAGAGCTGTTCAGTTTGCAGAAACTGTATCATGTTAGGTACTAGATGGGAAGCAAGGGAAATTCCAGGTGTAGTCCATGAGGGAGAAGGCAGATAAGCTTCTTATTTCCAGGAAGGAGGGAGTAGAGACTCCATCAGTATTTCTGTTTTGTTCTGTTTACATGGTGGTATGTACGATTTATTTTGCTTTCAGAGCTGAAAGTTCCATAGAGATCACTGGACATTTTCTGCCTGGTGGCATGGAAAATTTTAAAATCTAAATATTGCTGGGCATGCTTTGGAGCCTGCTTGCTTGGCAGAGGCAGGAGCTCTGAGTGATCAGAATAGACCTGGCAGCCGTTTCACTGGCATGAGTTTGTGTGGGGTGGATGATCGAGTTTCTGAAGCCAGCAGCTGCTGGTTAGTTTGCCTTTTAGAATTAAACTTGGTGTGGTGTTTATGCAATGTGTGAGAGTGCCTTTAAAGAGGCACAGAAACTGCGGGAATTAGCACTGTTTAGAATACAAAGCCAAATGCCTTGTATCTAAAGGAAAGTATGCTACCCCAAGCAGGAAAGACCCCGGAGTGAGCACCCTGGAGCTGCCTTGGAGTCTCGAGGCCCCTGAATTTATTTCTTTGCCCTCAGTGTCCAGGCTAGCATTCCCCTTGTCTGCATGGCTCAGATTTCCCTGATTTTCTCCAGGGTCCCTGCTTCTTCTTACTGGTTCCAGTCTGCACTGTTCTGGCTGATGAATGGAGAGGATGCTTTCCAGTTCAGAGTCTTCTGCAGTGCTATTTCATTCCACCTTTGAGAACCAGCTTGAGCTCTCTCATCAAGCTTTTGCTCAGCCTGCTGGCACTGGAGGTGTCCCATTGCATTCTTCCCAGGTCCTCAGCTCCCCTCTCCCCTTCCCTGCTGTTGAGTTGCTCCTGCCCCACAGCTGCTGCAGAAGCCCTGCAGAGCCCTGACATGGAGCCCCTGCTCTAGACCTTTTCCCTAAGTATCTGCTTGCTCACTGTATCCTGAAGTCTACATCTTCTAGGATGTCCTCTGACTAAGGAAGCACCTCTCATACTTACACAAGATTTCTCTTAAGATTGCCAGGGTGTGCCATGTTCTAAACTCATGTGCTGGGAACTCTACTGTCCTAGGAACTCTGGTAGGAATTTCCCTAGGTAATTTATGTGCATACCTCCACAGCTCTTTAGAGTAGGTGTTGTCATCTTCACTTTATACATGAGCAAACTGAGACTTTAATTAGCTTCCTAAGTTTAATTAGCTTGACTCAAACACCAAGTGAAGGGCCCAAAAAATAAACATCAATTTCCTTCCTCTGAGTCTGGGGTTCTTTCCATCGATTCCAAGGTACCCCACCTGTTTACACGGTGACTGTGGTGGTCTTTGTGGGTTGATTACTCATTATGATTTTTGATTTATTCTACTACACAAGTTAAGATCAATAGGTAGGGTGTTCAATGTATTCTTGTGCCTCTTACCAGTCTCTGGGAATAGAAAACCCTACACAGTGGAAGCTGAGCGATCAGGTTATTTATTAAAGAACCCAGATCTTCACCCCTGACACACAGATGCAGTTATTTCTGAACACTAGCACCCAAGATCTGGCACGCACCAGCTCTTAGCCAGAGCAGGGAGCCAGTCAACACCAAGACCCGTCGGCCAGCTCCTCTGCAGCAGTCTGCCGCCCAATGTGTCCCTGGGTTCTACATCAATACAGTCAACTGGCTACGGGTCAGAAACACCCCAGCAGAATCCCTCCTGCACCTGCACATGCACAACATCCGCTGTCGTTCCTTAGCAACACAGCGTATCAACTACTTGCACACATTTCCATCACCCCAGGTCCCAAGTTATTTAGCAATTAGTGTGTAAGAGCACACGTGTCGGTTCTGCACAAAAACTACCCATCAGAGCATCCTTGGATTCTGGCATCTGGAGGGGTTCTGGGACTCCTGGATCCTGAGGATGATTGCACTGAGTCCTGACCTCTCCTATGTGTAGTGTAAAGATCATTCAGTGGCCCCTGGTCTTCTCCCTTCTGTGGTCTTGTGCAATTATATGCCCCTGGGACATTTAGAGGCCATGGGCATCATGGAAGAATTGTTTAGTGTTACCGCAATAAAATGCGCTGTGCCCACATCAGTGTGGATGCCCTCTGAAGTGAACGCTGTGTGGTTTTTCTGAGTGCTATATGGTGGTCCCCCAAGCTGCTGCTGATGTCATAGGTGTGGGCAATTTAACCTGGGCTGCAGCTGGCTTTTTAGTTGTTGTCTCTGGTGCAGGCACATGTCAGTTGTCAATCAACAAACAAAACTGCTAATGACTATTTCTGTGCTGTCAGCAATCATTATTAACTCTCTTCTATGTGAGTTGCGGGGCAATGGTTACACATCACTGTGCTTAGTTAGGACATGGAGAACTCAAGGGTCTAAAAGGTAGACAAGAGAGTCAGTCCAGAGCGTCTGTGGGCCAGGTGATGAGCTGAACTTGACTTCTGGTCTTGTAGGTTGAGCTTAGGTAATAGACACTGGCTCGGCCACTGATCCCAAGAGTGCCAGAGTGATGTGGTTGGTAACAGGGGCCCACAGCACGGCTGCCCCTCCCAGCTGTGTAACCTTGGGAGGTGGCCTCCTCTCTGCACGGTGCTTTGCTGTCTACAAGCTGGAGGTTTTGGCGGTGCTCACCTCACAAGGCTGGGTGATCAGTGGGCAGGCCAGTGTGCAAGCCGCAGGTGGAGCCTTTGGGGACTCAGATCCTTCCCTGCATGTGCTCATTCATTAGAAATCAGCAGCAGCAACACCACCAGCAGCCAGCAGACTCCTTCATCTAGCATGGCTCAAATAGTACTTATCCAAAGATAGCCCTCTTGTCTGTGAACCCCAAACCCTGTGGGTTAAATGACACACGTCCGAGATGTGGGCTGCACCCAGATCTTACCTATACCTGAACCATTCCTGCCCCAATCCCATTACCCAGTCTGCAGAGCTGTTCTGTGGCCATAAGTCCGGCTTTTATCCCAGTGCAAGGAGAAGGTGAGATGCGAGGTTCAAGTGTGGTCTACAGAAAAGCTACGGGAACTACAGGGTTCTGTCCCAAGTGTGTGTGCGAAGTGTGTTGACAGACCCAACTCCCTTTTGTCTTTCAGCCACCACCACCCAGCCGAAGCGGAAAGGCCACTTCTCCCGCTGCCCCAAGCAGTACAAGCACTACTGCATCAAGGGCAGATGCCGCTTCGTGGTGGCCGAGCAGACGCCCTCCTGTGTGTAAGTGAGCCTGCCAGCCAGCGAGGGGTGGTGCCTTCCAGGCTGGGCTTCGGAAAGCCTGAGCTCACCGTGCCATCTGCGCACACTGTTCCGCCTGGCCCTGCCCTCAGCCTGTTGTCCATGCCCTGGTCCAAGCTGCTTATGGAGAGGCTGACGCACCCTTCCCCGAAACACGAGAGTGGGAGCTGGATTCATGTCCAGGCTGGGCTGTCCTCGCTGTCTTGGCAAGAGAAGCTGATTCTGTCCAGGGTTAGGATGCTTGTTGGCTCTAGCGATCCCCTGGGTGGTTCCCATGGAAACACATTCTTCTGGCTGGCTTAGGAGGTGCGTGGTTAATGTAAACATGGAGGAGCTCCTGCCAAAGTAAAAGCGCCCCCTGCAGGTGTCAGCCAAGTACAGAGAGCCAGGCTTGTGTGTGAGCAGAGCCCAACAGAGAGAGACCAGGAGAAAGTTTCCCTTTGGAATCCATTTAGCATTCATTTTCTGATAAAAAGATGCCTCTAATGTCTGCTGGGCTTCCTCAGAGGAACAAAGTGATTCCTCTAGGGACTTCGTAGAATCCAAAATTCACAGAATGGTTAGATTCTTCAGCAGTGTCTCCATTATATGTGTTTCCCCCTTAGAGATCTCAGTGATTCAAATCCTGAGTTTGTGGGAACTTTAAAAATCATGGGTTTCTTCAAACTGTAATTACGTGAAGTTCATTTTGGAAAAGAGATACATGGGTAATTCTTAGAAGCGGGTAAGAATCACTACTGTAAAATAGGCAAGAGTGTGTGTGTTCATGTGTGTGTTAAGAAAGTTAGATGTGATTTTTTGAAAGTCTCATTTATTTAGTGTGTTTAAAATGTGAACATCCTTTTACCCAGAGCATGTCTGTAACTTGTCTGTGTGTCTTCCTGTTGACTGTGCTTTAATGTCACTGCTCTGGGAAGGAAATCGCAGTGTGTCATCTGTCAGCTTGTCCTCTGCACAGGGAAGTTGAAGCTCCATTTCTAAGTCTCCATCGCTCCTCTGATCCTGGCTTAAGTTCCAGCTGCACCTCTAAAACCCTCCACTTCTTCACTAGTTTACTGTGTGAACTCCTCTCAGGGAGCTTTCTGAGGATTCAAGGTGTGGCCTCGACTAAGCTCCTTGGTGCTTCTCGAGTGGTGAGGTGGGCGCCCTCGATCCACCATCTGATCATACTTGCAGACAGCACTCTCCCACTGGAGCGATGCTCTTGGCTTCTTTAACCATTCACTCTGTCTGCACGCTCCTAGAAGGCAGGGCTCCTGCTGACTCCCACTTGTGTTCCAGTGGGGAGCACAGTGCCAAACATTTAACAGGTGTGTGAGGAAGAAACAGGTGCCCCTAGTACAGTCCACCCCGACCTCTGCTAGATTTCAAAGCCTAGGCTTTCATCAAGCTATGAGCATCTCCCCTGCAGTAGCGTGATATAGGGCCAGCTATGTGCTGATTCTAGACTCGATTCTTCACTGGGCTTTGAGTTTTGCTTTCGCCCACTGTATGCAGTGCTGCCATAGGGCTGACTTTCCTGCATCTGTTTCACCATCTGTAAAAGAAGATAATGATGCTGTACTTTTTTCTCAAAACTTGAAGGTTAAGTCAGATCAGAAATGCAGCACAGCTTGCTTACAATGGTCCAAAAGACAGCGAAAATTCCAGACTTCACCCTTGGGACAAGTGACAGGTATCCTAGCCAGGCCTGCCTTTCCTGTGGCTTGGCATTATGGGAAACTCAGGCCAAACTCTTTTCAATTGGTATTAGCACCATTTTGGGAAAACAGAGGTGTCCCTTTACCTGAGATCACAGGAGTTCACGGACTCCTCTGCACGCACTTGCACATGAATTGTGTTTCGAGTAATTCATATCCTCCATTAGTCTTGTAAGAAGGGTCTTGGAAAGTGGGTAATTTGTTTGTAGATGTCAAATTTTTAATAATTTATGGGCTGGGGATGTAGCTCAGTGGCATAAACACTTTCCTGGCAAGCACAACGTGATGAGTTCAGTCCTTGGTACAAAAAAAAAAAAAAAATTATACAGGTGATTAACAGGCTGGGAGCAGATGGCCTGTGCCGTGATCCCCGTCCCATTCCCTCCGGTCCTTGGCACTGCAGTTTCTCCCTCTGCTGCCTCTATTGAAGGTTGCTGTCCCAGTCTGTTGACACCTACACATTTCTACTGATGATTTCAGGACAGTGATTGCAAACTTTATTTTGCGGTCTCTCAAGTCATGGAATCCTCCAAAGTTGTTTTCACTTTCACTTTACTAGACCATTGTCTCATCAACATCTGCTCACCGTTCAGTGAGCACCAGGCTCTCCCCCTGGGAGAGGCATTCCCTGAACATGACCAGACCAGCCGCTGACCTCCTCATGGCTGGCTGAAAAGTGAATGTCTCAGGAGTCACCATAACTATGCAAGGAACTGTCTCCAGGGAAGAAAAGACCCTGAGACAGCCAGCACCTCATTATTCACTGATTGAAGAAAATGGTGTGGAATCATTGGATGATTCAGAGGGTAGAGGTGATCTTATGCTAAGAACAATATTAAATTGATGAGGATCACTTCACATGGCTCAAAGGACGAAGGTGATCTTAAACTAATGAGGATTTTACCTCAATGTCATCTTGCCCTGGAGCATAACAGCATCTCGGGCCATTAAGGCCTCCGGGTCCGAGCCTCAGTTTATGATTTGTGATCCCCAATACTGCGGGAAGTGAGATCACCAGAACTGCAGCTCACATCCCTAACCAGTTGGCTCCCTCTACACATCTGTCTGTTTATCTGGCCATCTCTGTGAGCCTGCTATCCTAGCAGAGTGAAGTATCTTAGAGCTCACTCAGAAACTCAGCTGAAGCCTGGTTCAGTTGCTGAACCAGGGTGCACAATTGGAAAAAAGGCCAGAAGCATAGCTAGGAATTGTGATCTTGAGGGGCAAAGCTATTGCTTAAAAATGCCATATTTTGTGCATTTATTAAAGAAATGTGTACTCCAATTGGAAAGACTGTATGTATTTGTGAGATTTAAATATATTCTTAAAGCAACTCTTGAAAACATCTTCCCACATGCAATTAAAAGTGGTCCTCCTACCATTTCAATTCTATGAACAACAGACTTTTATATTTTCAAATAGTTTAAGCTCTCTCCCCATATTCTGACCTCAGAATGAAGATACCTAGCTATCGTGCTGGAAGCAGTTCTCTCTCACATGTCCTGGGGTCCTTTTGTAATAAATGGCATTAGGTATCCTCTTTATTGTTTCACAGCAGTTTGTCTTTGAATGGATGGTTGTTACTGAGCTTTCTGCTCATTTTGGTTTTGAAGCACTGTTGTGCCACAGTGTCGGCATAAAAGAATTTCTGTACTTGAGAAATACAGATTTGTCGCTCTTGTCAAGCACAGGTATAGGACAGCTTGGCTAGGAATCCTTCCTGGAGAAAAATGAGGTTGCACAGCAATCTTTTCAATGTGCAGAATTCAATCTTTCTGGCATTGAGATTATCATGTATATTAGCTAGTTTGTACGCATTAGAGGAGACAGGAAAATACCAACATAAACCTGCTAATGTTACAAAAGACACAGACAAATCTTTAGGCATCTCTTAAACTTCTGCTTTTCTGACAGTGCTGTGGGTTATCCACAGAGCATCAGGCCTTTAGCTCTGCTAGAGTTGCTGGGACAGGTTGTAGCTTGATGGGAAAGATGGACAACTGGAATGCAGGTCCAGGGCATCAGCTGCTGGTGTCCTAAGGCTACCGGAAAGTATTGGCTCCATTTAACAGAGCTGGTAGATTCCTGTTGTTCCCCTTGAAGGGAATCAGGGAATGAATACAAATAGACCATGAGAGGGCAGTGGAGGGAGATGGGAACAGATCTACAAATGCAGACTGAGAAGGGCTAGGACCAGACCTGTGGTGCTCTGAGAGGATGTGGTTGGTGAGTAGGGAGGGACTTCATCCAATCTGGGACCTCCCAAGCAGGGAGAGAGTGGGAGGGGAGTGGGACTGGGTGACAGACAGAGAGCGATTCTGCAGCAATGATATTTATGGGACTTTCTATTTTGATCACTGGATTATGCTCTCTCATTTACGGTACTGTTTGATTGTATGAAGCAATGTAATTTTTACTTATCTTTTTGCTGGTATTTATCTTTTTGAGCCTAGGGTGTCACACTTTCCAGACAAGTGCTCCCCATGAGCTGCACCCCAATCCCAAACAATGTCATTTTCAAATAATTTGTAAGGGTGTTGACACCCTGAAACTCTGGAAGAGCCTGAGATGAAATGGGGAATCCTGGGGATTTCTGAGTTCCTTGTCAGGGAGGTTTTTAAGTGCTGGGAACATGTGGAGGGAATTTTTTCATCCTTTCCTTTTCAAACACAGGGATTATAATTTCAACATGTGTTTTAATAAACTGTCACCATCCTGCCTATTTGAATTAGACACTTTAAATTGTCCAAGTAATGGCCAGGTCTTAGCACAGCCAACAAAGTAAAAGTCGTTCCCGAGAGCAGTGCAGATGGACTGCTGTGCTGAGCAAAGGATCCACATTCCTCCTCGCATCAGAAAACCCTTCGGAATGAGGTGGAGGTTCCTGTCTTCACCTTCCTTCCGCTTACTTTTGTTTCACAGTTGTGATGAAGGCTACACCGGGGCCCGGTGTGAGAGAGTCGACTTGTTCTACCTAAGAGGAGGCAGAGGACAGATTTTGGTGATTTGTTTAATAGCGGTGATGGTCTTTTTTATCATTCTGGTCATCAGTGTCTGCACATGCTGTCAGTAAGTATTTTTGAATGTAGTTTTCAGTAAAGTTGAGAAATAGTTTCTTAGTTTCTTTCCTACTTTCTCTCCCTTTTGCTTTGGTTGGAATAAATCCTCATTTTAAGGTTTGTTATCATTGAGGTATGTGTAATAAAACACATAAAGCAATTTTTATCATCTTAAATTATGATTTAAAACAAACTTGGAGCAACTGGAATAGAGGAAAGGAGAGAAGGAAGAAGGGAAAAGATTATATGTACCCGGGTATACACACGTATGTATGTATGTATATACAAGATAGATAGCTACACTATTAATCTCTGTTAGTTCATGCAAAAGAACAATTTGTACTTTCACTGTTTGATCATCTTTTTTGGTGCCTAAATCTTGTAACCTGAACAACTGCTTCTAAGATAACAATACACAGCATATTAATTAGGTTTAATTTCCTACTATCTTTTTGAAATTCTGTATCATTTCTATCTTTTTTTTCTGTTTTGCTTTCTTAAAATATAAAATATAAAAAAGAAAAAAGAAAACAAACGAGTATAACCCTTTCAGGTACAGAAAATTATTTTGTCCTGAAGTCGGGTGTGTTTTGTGTTCGTTACTAGGCTAATTAGGGCTTCATTTCTTAAAATGTGCTACGACACAATAACTGAAAGATAGACACAGAAAGAAGCATTTTCCTTAGGTTGGCCGCATTAAATAATTAATTTATGTGCACATTATGGTGACATCATCTTCTCAGTTTTTGCTGTGTAACGCAGCCTTGAGAAATAGAAGCACCTTGCTTTTTTCTTTGAGGCAGAGTGGCGTGGCGCGCTTCTCAGGGATGCCGGTTTCTGTGACTCCTGCTATTCTTTCTTGAATCGCAGCAGAGCCATCCACGGTGTGTGGAACATCCTGCCTTCCTGCCCTGGAAGCCAGCCCAGGCTCCTTGTCATTTGCTTTTCAGGGTTCCTCCGTCACTATTCCTGTTAATGGAGAACCTGAAACAGGAATCAGGGCCACCAGGCAAGGGGAAGATGTAAAAGTTAAACCAGCCTTCCCAGGAGACAACACAGTTCTTCCTTGATGGAGAAGACCCCAAAAGCTGTTCAAAGACTGTAAGAACTAATAAGCAAATTCAGCACAGTAGTGGATACAAAATTCGTAACATTCCTGTACACAAACAGCCGACCGGCCAGGAAGGAAATCAGGAAAATGATGTCACTCACAAGGAATTAACCTAACCACGGAAGCAGAAGACATCTATAATTAAGACCCTGGCACGGTACTCTAAAAACGAAGAAAGAAAGTAAGAAAGAAATGGACACAAATGTCAGAAATGAAGATAGAGTGTCCTTTTCCTGGGTTTGCAGAACCAGTATAGTCAAAATGGCCTTAATACCAAAAATGATATATTATATCTCTACCGATATAGATATAGATACAGATATAGGTATATCATTAATCCCAATTGAAGTGCTAGAAGCATTCTTCACAGAACTAGAAGAACAATCCTAAGATTTATATGGAACCCAGATTTGAATAGCTAATTTCTGAGAGACAAGAGCAAAACAGGAGGTATCACAATCCTGGACTTCAAGTTATATTACAAAGGTACAGTAATTAAAATGGCATGGTCCTGGTACACAAAGAGACATGTGGATTAATGGAATAGAACAAAGACCTCAGAGACAACCCCAGACACATTCAGCCATCTGATCTTTGACAAAGTGGTCAGAAACATGCACTGGAGGGAAGAGAGTCTGCTTAGTGCAGCTTCCTGAACAGGTGCAGCTACTTCCGTGCTGTGGCCTACGCCCACAGAGGGTGCCTGGTGATTCCTATCGTCACAGTGTCCTTGGGACAGAAATGTGGACATGGATGTGTCTTTGACTCTTGGATCAGCTCTGTCACTGTGACTCTTGAGATTCTGGACAAATTTCTTAATATCTGGGAACTTTAATTGGATTTTCTGCAAAACCAAAGCATTAAACCAGCTAATCTGTAGGGTTTCTCCTAGCTATAAAACTTAAAAATATTTTTGAATTTATATACTTGATGGCAGTGGGAAATACTTATGAGGCCAGCTCTGAGGAAGATGAGTGGTCTGAACTGGGAAATGGGCTACCTGGTAATGCTAACTTTGAACAGCACTTCTAGGAAACTGGGAAAGTGCAGAATACAGTATCCGTCTATGGATTAAGGTGGTTGGAAACTAACACATTCAAAGACTGCAGTCACTCTTGTGATTTATTTTTTAATGCTTCTTACCAATTTCTACTGTTCTTTTATGCTCTATAATATACTCCTTACTATATTGTGTAAAGTGAGGTGGCTCCTGAAAACTAAAAAATCCTCATCAAGTATCAACTGTATCTTCCTGTTAGACAACACTTCTGAATTCACGCTGCTTCCTGCCATAGCTGTCATCTGAGCTTAGAAAGAGATGAATTAAAGGAGAACCCAAAAATATTTAAGGAAGGAGAATTGTGCATTTTTGACAGTCTAGAAATAAGATCACAGTCTTTCTTGTTGAATAATTTTGTATTTGCTTGAATTAACAGGCCCAGATTAATTTCTAACATGTTATTTTCCAAGTCCTCTTCGGAAACATCGTAAAAAAAGGAAGAAAGAAGAAGAAAGGGAAGCGTTGGGTAAAGATGTGACTCCTATAAGTGAAGACATTGAAGAGACTAACATTGCTTAACGGTAAGTGTACAGCTGTACGTGGTAGACGGGAAACTGTCCAGGGGACCTCTAAGAGGTGACGTGGTCTAATAACCATTGGCTGGAATTTGGTTGAGTTTTAAGAATAAATTAGTCATTTTTTCATAGACCTGGAACCCAGATGAGGGACTTTGTCATATGTTTCTTTTCTATGTAACCTGTATGTTGTATTTCTCCTGCATGTGTTCTACTTTTGCATGAGAACTGTGGTTATTTTGTTTCCCTCATTCTCTTCTGAGTGGTTAGGGGTGAGATGTTTTCACTTACACCTTCCGAGTGTTCACCATGTGCTGTTGGCTCCTCTGGGCTCTTGCAGCGTCAGCTCGGTCAGAGGCCCAGCAAGGCTCAGGATTCCATTCAGGTCACCCACAGAAGGGGTTTTGGTGGCCCACGGGCAGCTGCAGAGAACTGCAGGGGCCTTGAGCCCTCGGCAGCGGTGGCAAGCAGCTGCTGCCCCGCCTGAGCCTGGGGCGCTGGGAGAGTTTTCACCTGGCACTTGGAGGTGCTTTGCATAGGAGCCCACCAAGCAGGACTGTAGCTGTGGGAGGAACAGGTTCCATGGGGGCCCGCAGAGGGACAGAGGAAGAAATAGTAAAACACCCCCAGCTCTCCTTGCCAACCATCAGACCTCTAGCAGGTGCCTCCCACACTAACTAAGCCCAACCAGAATTCAAAGGCGTGGTGACCTGCAACAGTCCATAAACTGGGACTAGAGCAGGACAGACAGGCTGCAGGGCACAGAGTAACAGGACCAGAGTGGGCAGCACTGGTGTAGTCACCTTGAGCCCAGCTCAGACTGGCTCTGACCTGGGATGCTGTGCAGACTCCTGTAATAGCAGCAGCCCAGAGGTAAAGCAGGCTTTGCCCTCAGTTCGACCAGAGATGCGCCCTGAAATAGATAGTTTTTCTCTTTCTGTTCACTGTTTAGAGCCTTGTCCTCACCCTAGTCTAGTTCCTCTAGGTTATCAGGAAGCCAGTAGCGACTGGGCCTCATGCTCCCTGTACTGGCCAGCATGATGGAGCAGTGGACTCCATAGCAGTCTCTGCAGTACCATCCGCTGTGCCCAGCAGCCAGGAACTCCCTAGGTATAATACCGGTAACCACCTGCGGAGGAATCACAGTGTGCTCCTCCCTCCCTCACTGCAAAAAAAGGCTAGTGCGATTCCAGATGTTGCTGCTTCTCTTATTCCTACACGGTGTGCTGCTTTCAAATGGCTGCTCTTACTTCTTCATTCACAGGCTGCAAAGGCTAATCCTGGCTGGCCCAGTCCACACACTGCCTTGCTCCTTTGGAAACGGACAGATCTAGTCTCAGGAAAACAATTCATAGAAATGAATTTTAAATATCGTGTTTACTTTTTTAAAACTTTACTTTGTGTCATTTATTGCCATTTTAAAAATAATAATAATATAATAATTTAATTATAGTCCAGCACTTGGAAAAAACACCTGGTGAGGGGGCAACAAAAAGAAGGGACATTTTAGTAATTTTCCACTGAAGTTTATCACCAGGATTATTAGTCAAGTAAAAAAAAAAACTAGTAAGATGGAGTTTAGAGCTTAGGAAATTAATTAGCATTAAAGCTACCATCTTCATGAACTGTGTGCTATGAGTTTGAAATACTTCGTTTCATTTGGTCCTCCCAGCAATCTGTGAGGAAGACACTACGATTCTCATTCCCCGGGTAGGGGAAGAGCCCCCCAAGATCCAATGTCCAGCCTAGCTCTATAGAGTCAGGAGTTGTAGGGGTCAGAATTAAAATTAAGCCTTACCTGGATTTGAAGTTGGTGTTCTTAGCTAGGCCCTGTTCATTTGAGTTGCGTCACCTAAGTCAACAGTTTAGGGCAGGATTTCCTGCTCCCTCCTGTGACCTTGACTGTCAAGGCCACCTCCCTGCTATGACACAGGGTGCAGAGTCCCGGCCAGGATGGCTGTGACCATTGTGTCTTTCACAGAATTGACTTTTCTTGTCTATGAAGCCTCAGTGACATGAATGAATCTGTACATTATCAAAACCTGAAGTGTTCCCTAGCTAGAGGAGTGAAGACAGCTGGGAAAGCAAATGCTTGGTATCCTTTGAATCCTGCGGAAGTACTGATGCTCAGCAGAGTACAGTGACAGCCCCAGAAGAGGCTGTGCTTGTCAGGGATGGCGCCCCAGCCTCAGACACACCTTGGCTGTGGCCTACCCTCACTTCCAGTTCTTTTTCACAACAGCGAAGATGTTGGTCTCAGAAGGGGTTGGGTGCAGTCCTTTGTGACTACAGCATTTGTTATTTGATCAGCTCTGTCAGATGCTCCCTCAGTCTTGTGTCCTGCTTAGGAAACACTATGTTAGCCCCGAGAAGGTGAAATCTAGGTTGAACCAGTATTCCATAGGATACTCAGCTCTCTGCATTGATTAGGTGAGTCACAGGAAACAGTGAACTATGTACACAAATTGCTGCAGTATGTGCCCGTCAACCGAGCACCATCTCCACAGAACCCTTGTAGGCTTCACTCTGTAACATGAGTTCCAAAGCCAGCACTCAGCAGGACATTGACACTGAGCCCAGTGGAGAAGCTCCTGGACCCATGTGCAGTGTTGGTGGAGAGAAACATACGGCTACCAGTCAGGGCACACTCACACACCGGTGACATTTGACGTGGATTATTTTTCCTGCTGACTTAATGACATCTGGAAGCAGGACTGTACTCACCTGATTAGTGTGGAATATGTCTTGTTTCTAAAGTTTCCTATGGACTCCTTTCGTCCTCTTTCCTTCTTGGTCTTCTTTGGTACTGAAAAGGCTTAAGAAAAATGCTCCTTAGAGCACTTGGAAAGACAAAGCAATCCAGGAATGTTTCTCTGCTGGACTGAGGTTGGCTGACCAAGGAACTCTCTCAGGTCAATTCAGGCTTGGGAGGATTGCTTTGATTCTACAACTTTAATGATGGCCTTAGAAATTCTGATATCCACCAAAAATTTTAAAGACTTTTGTATCTTTTGAAAATGTGTCTGGTAATTCGTTTGCATATATTAAATGACTGCTTATGTAAACTATCACTATTATGTTATAAAATAAATTTATTTTTAAAACAAAACAAATCTATTTTTATTCTGGTGTTTTATTTTGGTACAATTAGTTGTTAGTAGAAATATATTTGGAAATTATTGCTTTAAAAACATATTTTGTAGAACTATTCATTAATGCATTTGAAATGGTCCCTTCTGACTGCATTTTTCATATTTTTCATAAACATAAAAGCCCAGAGAAGCCGGTTGTGCACCCCATGGTGTGTCTGCTGGCTTCCAGAACACAGTGTTGAGCTTCAACTCCAGCTACATGTGGCTGGTCTGAGCATGGCACTTACTAAGGCCAGGCCAGTGGGAGTCATTTGGAGAAAACTGGGAACTTGAACTCAAGACCATCTTCTTTGTGCTCCTGAAATACAAGATGTGTGTTTGAAACTGTTGATAGTTATATTTTGTTTCTGGTGAACCAGGACACTGATCAGCAGAGGGAAAGGGAAGCTTTGGGCACACATTCAGTGGTGAAGGGAGGGACGTGCGTCCCCTGAAGTCCATGTCCTGGGGACAGCATTGTCCAGGGTTAACCTTGCTGCTGCTCGCAAATTTCATGAACCATATTCCCATTTCTATGACAGCTTTCTCGCTTGGTTTAAACTGCTTCTCCCCACCTGTACTCAGAAGCATGATTCTAAGATTGTGGACAGAGTTTCCTCATCAGAAACGATGAAACTGAAGACAGACCACTCCTACCTAGCACACGGTGCTGGGATGGTGTTAGAGGAAGCTAGCAGTGAAATTTTTACCATGCAGTTTTTGTGGGGCACAGAGAGGGAACAGGTGATAGCAAGCACTCTGTTCTGGGAGCTGTGCCCTCCCTGGGACAAGTCCCAGAGAGGAGTGAGATGTGACCACCCCAGCAGTTAGGTGATGAGCAGGGGACCGACTGTGCATTTCAGCATGGACTGGGGTGGCAATTTCTGGTTTCTGGGTGCCCAAATGCCTGGATTAAAGCATCCAGGAGCTCATTGGTTATGCACTTGGATCATTGGTTATGCACTTCCAGGGAAACTGGTGTGTGAGTGAGTTGGGACCCATCCTTACTGGCACCTCAATGCCTGGAGGGAACATATCCAGGAGGCAGCTCCCTTCTCTGTGAGGGAGGTAGACTTCCTTTCTGCTCTCTTGGACCTCAGGACTTCAGACTCTTAGGCCTTTGAACCCCAAGATTCACACCAGCAGCCCCCAGATTCTCAGGCTGTCAGCCTTGGACTGAGAGTTATATCATTATTTCCTCTAGTTGTGAGGTTTCTAGGACTAAACTCTGCCACACTGCCTGTATCCCTGCAGAGGGACCCGTCAGATGTCTTGTTGGCATAAGCCCTCTCTTGGATGACTGTGTACACCTCCTGTCGTGTCCCTCTGGAGAAGCCTGACTGCTGCAGGTACTCTGGGAGGGGCTCAGAAAGGAAGAAGACCCTGCAGACAGAGCGATGACTGGAGGCCACTAGAGGATATTACACCGGAACTGGTGATCGGCTCTGAGAAGCAAACATCTCTGGTCTGAATACTGTGCAAATGTCACTAGTCCTTGCCTCCTTATCAGAAACTCCAGAGGGAGCAGAGGGTACTGCCACAAGGGAACACGTGAAGAAGGGGGTGGGGATCGGGGCTTTATGTCTTGTTCTGGGTGCCCGAGGCATGGCAGGCAGAGTCTGTGGCGCAGGGGTGGTGGAAGATGGTCCTGGCCTTGCTGATGTTACATGACTATGTGATAGGTGAAGTTAAAGCTTTTTATTTCCTGCAGTGCATTATGTAGGCCTTCTAAATTTTCCTGTGGAAGAGTTTTGGGTTTCCTCTTTCATTACCTGTGCTCACAGCAAGTTACATAGACTGAATAAAATAAAATGTGTCAAATAATGTGCTATTTAGACAAGGCCAGTTTGGCAAAGTTTTGTGACGGAAGTGGAGGATATATTTCAGTGCCTGTGGCTTTTGCTATCAGGACACTGTCTTCAAAAGTCCACTTTCATTTTACCTGTGCCTGATGGGTAAGATAGCCTGAACATCTTGGAGCATTACTATTGTTCATTTACTCATAGACGATTACAAAGTGCCCATCAAGTGCCAGGTACTTTAGTTTCTGAGAGCAAACCAGTTACATAACCGCTGTAAAGAAAATGGTGCTGTGGAACTTACTTTCTCGTGGATCTAATCTTCACAGCGTGGAATTGATAGCAAGACATATCCAAGAAGCTGTGTTGCCCAAATGGCATCACCATCCAGCTTTCTTGAAGACAGCAAGATGAGCTCATGAAAGAACCCATGGGACATCGGGAGCTGCGGGTTCCTCTTGACCATGAATAATGCACCTGTTTTGATAATGATGAGCAAGAGTGCAAAAACGTACACTTACACTTCTTTTGTGTAAAAATTTTTGTTTATGCGTCTATTGGCAATGTCTGGTGACTATTGGAGCTAAGACTGCTTCAAACATTTCCGACAGAGCAGGACACGCAGAAAAGCTCAGGCTGTCTCTTTGCCATTGTCACTGCACCCCGGGAATGTGTCTTCCAGTGACATCGAGTGGCACTTCTCTCTCCTCTCATTAATCCCTGAGATCTGTCAGTTATCAGTGCTTGTGATTCTTCACTAAAAACACACACAAACTGTGTAACTTCATAGGCTATACCAGTAATTATTGTGTAAGACATAACCAGAATCATTTCTGGAAATTTCAAAATATAAATTTCAAGATATGTTTGGTAGACAATTATGTTCAGTACTTGTGTTCTAAAGAAATGCTAACCAAATATGTTTGTAGAGGACTTTTCCTTACATGCTTTATTAATCTCACCAAATTTAAATTACATAAATAAAGTACAACAGAGGCACTTTCAGAGGCTTGCTTTCACTGACACAGACATAATTCTTTGCAAACACGGAACTCCTTAAAGCTGCTCATTGTATATGCAGCCCAACAAAATATTCTGAAACAAGGTGGGCAGTGATGAGCACTGCAATGCTGTTAGTGAGAAGCGAGAGAAAAACACTATGGCTTTGCTCTCCAAACCTATTTGTCAAAGACTGCAATGTGTGAACTAAACAAGATGAACCTCTTTGCAGCACGCACTTCTTCACACTGTGGGAGCCTTGTTCTTTACCCAGTGAGCAAGAAGTAGCAACTCTAAAACTCATCTACATAGAGGTTTTTGTGTGCTTGGTTGGTTTCAATTTTTTACTCCTAAAATAAAATTTAACTCTTGAATACTCTACTGCCATGTCTCTTTTTATTCCAGCTGAATTTTAAAATATCCAAACTTAGGACCAAACCAGTGCTCCTAATCATTAGAGAAGTGCTGTGGTCCTCGGAGAACCTGCCTCTCAGTCTACAATACAAAGGCTGTAGCCACAGTATCTGTATCCAGGCAGAGCTGGTCTTCAGTCTCAGGTCTGCTGCCCATTGTATGGCCCTGGCCTTATATGAAAAGTCAAAATAAATAAGGAAGAGGATTAAATGAGACCATGACTTTAGGAGGCCCATCCTGGTACCTAGCATAAGTATTCCCTAGGCACAAGGCCAATCAGTACTGCCCTCCTGTCCCTCAACCTGTACTGCTATGGCGGTGGAGGTACTGAGAAGTACGATATGCAGAATTCTTGTGCTGATACCGACATGGTGAAAAGTCCCTCTTCTTAAGGATTTGCAATTCCTGTGAAGGGATGTGTTTATTTTGCCAGAACTGGCTGTCTATAGTGGGGGAACTCCATCTCAGTGACCAGTTCTGAGAAAGTCCCTCCTTCACGTTTCTACATTCTGCCTGTCTGTCTTACCTTCATCTTCTGTAAGAGCGGCCAGTGAGGACAATAAAGAGAAGCTGTTATAATGGCACTGAAAATCACCAAAGGCGGAAGCTGAGGTGCAGCAGATGCAATGGTTGCTGTATGCTCAGCATCAAGGATGGTTTTGGAAACAGCCTGGGAGGGGACTTAAAATGGCCCCTTGTTGTGGTTGTTCCCAGAAGTTCCACACAGCGAGGGTGATGGCCAAGGTGACAAGGGACCTCAGGTCCAAGGTCATGCTGCCTGTGCAGCACCTTGTCACCTGTACTTAGGTCTCTCCAACTCTAAAATCCCTGAAACACTGGGGGCTGGGGATATAGCTCAGCAACATAAATGCCAGCTTGGCAAGCAAAAGGTCCTGAGTTCGATTCCCAGTACCAAAAAAAAAAAAAAAAAAAAAAAAAAAGAAATCTCTGAGTAAGTGCATGAAATGTCCCAATGGGAAGACAATATATTGTCCTGAACTTCATAGACAGATTAAATAAATTATTGCTCAGATTATACAGGACACATAGCTTGGAAATAGTTTAAAAGGTAAAAAACTGGACAGGAATAAAATCTGAGCGTTCTGTAGCAACCTGCAAACTTCTTGTTTTGTTTAATTCAACATTTTACACAGGTGTGGAAGGTTCAGCTCTCTTTCCTAAATCTACTGAGGTGTCTAAGAGCCTATGAAAAGGACATAGCACGTAACATCATTGTTGCAGATTAACCAGAGAAAGCCAAACTGGCAGGGTGTGAATGTTTCTAGACAGCACAGAACATGAAGAATAGGTAACTGAAGAAGCCTTTGATCCTGGAGCTTTTCAAATGGAGACATTTAGAAAAAAATTAATGTACTGATAATCAAAATTAAGTCCATATAGCTGAGACCACTGAATTCAGTGTAACTTTGTTAATTTGGATTCTACCCATCTGAAACTTGTCATTGTCAGGCTGGGCAAAAGAGATGTTTATCTTTATGGTAATAAAGAAATAATAGTTTTCAAAACTTCGCAAGGACAGTGTGAACCACTTATCAGACGAGTTATTTAAATACAAGGTGGCCAAAACATGGAGTTTTCATTAATTGTTATAAACTAATATAATAGGAAATCTACAAACAACAATTTTTATCAAATTCACTCAGTATAAGAATCAACTGGTTGAAAAGACTCTTAGCCAAGCGATACTCAGGGTGTACAAGCAGACAGGGTACCCGAATGATGCTTTGGGGAAACTGTTCAGTAGCTTAT